CTTCCGATAGCTTCTTTTCGTCTGCCCCATCGCAAGAAGATGGCAAAAGCAAACATAACCAGAGACATCATCCACAGGCAGATCAAGGTACGTGTCAGCCAAGTGTTCGCTTGTGCTGGGTAGAGAGCAGATAACCGGCGTTCATGCCGGATTGGGAAACACTCGTGTTACCTTTACTTCTGAAAAGATCTCTGCTGCTTATGTATTGATAAGCTGTATAAGAAGCTTAAGAGACCAAGTGCATAGGACCTGTCACACTCCTTAATGAAGGGCTGGGATGAAGCATGGCATAACAGGAATACAGTTGTTCTCCCTAGCAGGAGCGCACCATGCTCGTTTGACACCAGCAGATCTGTTCCTTTTGAGTGGGATGCTGAAGAGAGAAATCTGGCTACTTGTGTTTGGGCACCACAAAGGACCCTCAGCTAGCTTCCCTCATGAGTTTTCTGTCTGCTTCTTTATGTGTTCTCTTCGTGTGATCTTGCCATCAAAGGTATTTTCTGACTGTAGTAAAGCTAATGATCTCTGTCTCAGCCTCTTTCTGTCTCCCTTTCTTTAAAGGGTGGTGTGTTGGTTCGAAAAACTTCTGTGGTGGTCGGATCAGTCATCTGATGGCTGCGTTTGTGAAATGTCCCTTAGCGCGAAAGGGCTCGCTGCAGCAGACACAATAGGCAATTACTACTTGGACTCTGAGGCCTTAAATCATTTGCAGCTTTGCTGGTAATCAGCATTCACGAAAGCGGTCTGTTAGTGGCCAGAATAAGGAACTAGGAGCTTGAATGCTCACTTTGCTTTGCAGTTTGGTACCAAACTTTGTATTACAAGCTTCTAATTTCATCCGTGTGCAAAGACTTATTTGGCTGCTCTAATGAGGAAGGGATGGTCCGGCGGTTAGAGCGTTCGCCTGGGACTCTTTCACACTGTCTGCTCCGTTAGACTTTGCTGTGTGACCGTTGCTACGGCTGCCAGTGCCTTGTAGGAAAAGCAGCATCCTGCTGCACAGACCTCACAAAGGCACTGAGGTTGCAGTAGCAAGGCGATGGTAACGGCAGCACCTTGCGCAGGGCCCAGCAGTGTTTTGGGAATGCTAGCTCTAAAAGTACGTCGAGGGGGTTGCAGTTTGTAATGAAAGGTACTACAAAAAGCCTGTTTTGTGTTGGTTTTCCTCCGATCCACTTATACCTGTCTCCATTTTGTTTTTCAGTAGCTTTTGGTGTGTGGAGTTCATTACTTAACACTGGGCTGCAGAGCTGTAACGGGGGACGCTGGTTCTTTGTGTCTGCTCTGTGACTGCAACCGTGTTCCTAGTACCATAAGCATCATTTCTGACATCTGTAAATGGTGATAACGAAGGCGTAAATTGTCTTCGCCAGACTACAGCGTGGCATGGGGTGGGACCGAGGCTGCATCAGGTCCTAGGAAGGGATCTCCTCGGACATTAGATGTTCCATCCAAAACATGATTTACATTCCCTTTTCTGTATGCCTGCCTCTGCAGTTGGCCTTCTTTCATCGCAGCCATCTGCTGATGCATCTGTGAACCCTGTGAGATCGCAGGGGAAACAACTGTCCTGCTTTCCTTCACCTTCATTTGTACTGACGCAGTTCTGTGGCAGCTGTTCCCTTCCCTGTAGAACAGGCTGTGCCGTGGTACTGCAGCTACACGCTCCTGCTCCCTTTCTGGGGAAATAAGCCATCTCGAAAGGATGCCGTTCGGTTACATTCCCCAGCACTTTGCCCCTCGATGGTGGTGCTTCAGGATAGATTTCGTAGAATCGTTTAGGTTGGAAAAGACCTGTAAGATCATCGAGTTCAACCAATTCTGTGTGATGGCAGACTTCCGGGCAGCTGTGGTCAGTGCTCCAGCCCTCGGGAGTGAGTTGGTTCTGAAATCCTTGCCGAGGGATAACGACAGGCATTCCCAAGCTCTTTTGTGCCTTCATGGCTGGCCCAAAGTAGGCAAGTTACTCTTAGTGTGAGCCTTTCAAACCTTGTCTTGGCTACCCCGCTGGAACCTGGCAATTAGACAAACACAATTTTAAACCAATTCACGGGCAAGAATTACAAACTGCCTACCTAGAGATGATGCAGAAGATGTCTCCCTACTACAAGGCAGGTACCTGATGCTACAGACACCCCAATACCTGGCAACGTCCCCGCTTGATTTTATTAAAGTTCTTAAACCTTCTTTTAAAGGGAAAAAAGGAGTGTTTTGTTTGCTGTAGTCAGTGTGACGCTTGTTTGCTTCATGCAGGAGAGGGGGGCGCTGGGCTTCGAACGACATTATCACGTCACCGATCCATTCATTCGACGCCTGGGCCTGGAAGCAGAATTACAGGTAAGTGAGCAGTGTTTAATGAACAAACTGAGCTGCTCGTTGTACAGCGTAATGGGGAGAGAACAGCATGCAGGTGTGTGAAATTCTCCTTCTGGTATGGGATTGGTCATAGAATGGTTTGGGTTGGAAGGGACCTTAAAGACCATCTAGTGCCAACCCCCCTGCCATGGGCAGGGACACCTTCCACCAGACCAGGTTGCTCCAAGCCTCATCCAGCCTGGCCTTGGACACTTCCAGGGATGGGGCATCCACAGCTTCTCTGGGCAACCTGTCCCAGTGCTCCCCACCCTCTGCGGGAAGAATTCCTTCCTGATATCTAATCTAAACCTCCCCACTTTCAGTTTAAACCCGTGACCCCTTGTCTTGTCACTACAGTCCCTTGTAAAAAGTCCCCCCCAGTTCCCTTGTAGCCCCTTCAGGTACTGGAAGGCCGCAGTAAGGTCTCCAAGATGCGGATCACTTAGTCCCCTGAACTGCATTAGAGCCAGGAATAGCTCAGCGAGAGCTTGTGTGAGCTCTCGGCGTTACCTAATGCACCTACACGAGAGCCTTTAGCGGGTGCGTATCAGCTAATCCGAACAGCGGTGCCTGAAGGAGGCAGCTGTCAACTCTTGGAGATACTTGGCTCTGATGCTGAAGAGCGTAATGTGTTGCTGAAAAAATAGGTGGTTGTATTGCAGTGTGACACAGCTTAGAAAGATTTTAAGATTGTCTTGGTTTGGAGGAGGAAAAGATTCTTTTGCCCTCCTTTTCGATCGCATCTCCCATATCAAACGTTACTCCATGCTCCCCTCGTCTTTTCCTGGTACAGTTAGTTAATTTGGATGTAGACGGATGATACAGTCACCCAGCAGCAAGGTGCTTCTAAAAGAGTTCTCAAAAGTGTGTTTTCCCTGCGTTCCCAGGGAACCTGTACATGTAATTTGTCAGCCTAGCCGAGGGCTTTCGAAGCAAAGTCACCTTTCCCTGTGTACAGCAGGATTTCGTCCGTAGCCTCTGAGACTAAAGTGCTGGTTAATTCAACACTACATTCTTTTTTTTCCCATTTGTTTCGCTCTGCCTTTTCTACCCCAGCTGCTGCAGCACGCCTGTCTTATCTGGGGGTGCGTATCTGCCGTGTGGGTGGGCTTTTTTACTCCAACCCTGAAAAAAACCCAAGTTATGTGTGGGGAGCTCGCCGTATCCCTGTCTTGAGCAGCTCTGTTTGGGAAGTCTGACGTTTGCGTAATACTGTCTTCTCTTTTTTCTTTTGCTCAGGGTCACTCTGGGTGTGTCAACTGTCTAGAATGGAATGAAAAAGGAGAGTAAGTATGGGACTTGATTCAGGGGATCATCAAACTGATAACCCCAGGTTCTTCCAAGAGTGGGATGTAGGTCGTCCTATCATAAGCAGTAGCTTCTCCCATTCCCAGAAAAATGGGAGCTCAAGCTCCAAGTTTTGACCTGTAGTAGAGCTCACCCTTCAAAAGAAGCTTTATTTTGTTAAATATAGCTGGTTATTACTAGAAATGCCCCTTCAGTGAGTTCAGAAGGGAAATGGCCAGACTAAGAAGTGGAGATTGAAGACTGCTTCTCTTCTCTTAAGTGGTATTATGGATTATAACGGAGCTTTAGGATTTGCCCAGCTGGTAGTGGCACTTCCCCACCCCCTTCCCCATGCTGTTAAAGCTTCTGCTGGGGGACAAATACGTAAGGGAGAGAGGTAGAGCATTTACCCTCCTCCTCAGTTTTGGGGGGAAAGGAAACATGAGAGCGTTTCCGTTAACCAAGTGGAATAAAGGGTATCTGCATAAGAAACTGCTGGATGGAAAGAAGAGCGTGTATTTCTTGACATGCCTCTTACAAGATGCAAAGTCTCTGTCTGATACTCTTCAGAATTATGTACCAGTGAAAATTTCATGGACTTGAAGGAGATCTGGCTGCAAAGAAGTGAGTTTAAAAGAGCTGATGGGTGCAGAGGTCGGATTCTTTCCCTTCAGATGAAGATAGATGTCCAAGGCAAACAGCACCTCGCGATACTGCTGCAGCACCCTGCGTTCAACAAGCAGTCTGTGAATCGCTAAACCAGGCATGGCTTGGGAATGCTTGGGCACCTCCGAAGCCCGGGAATGAATGCCTTGGCTTGGGTTTGAGGATGATGTGGAGCAGTTAATGCAGTCAGGCTAATAAGGGAAATAGAAGCCTGGCGTTTTGGTGTTGACCAAATGCTCCTGTTGTTTACCCCTGTGCCCTCTGAATCTGTGCTGAGCTGGTTCAAGGAGTTAAACTAACGTGGAGTTAATATTTGGCTAGTTTAGCTCCCTGAGCTGGCTGAATGGATTGGTGCATGGGGAGCAGCAAGAACACATAGCTGAGAAAAGAGAGAGGAAGTGGGCTCCTCAGAGCACAATTAGCTTAATGGGTGTCTGTGGTCAAACCACTCTAAGAAATGGGTCAGGGCTTAGAGCAGAAGAATACATGGTGCATACTTCTCTTCTGTTACTTTCAGCTTGTTGGCCTCCGGCTCTGATGACCAGCATACCATTGTCTGGGATCCTCTGCACCACAAGAAACTCCTTTCTATGCACACAGGGCATACTGCAAACATCTTTTCTGTCAAGGTATGTGATCGGAAGGAATAAACAGCTGCCAAAATCAGCAACCTAAGCAGCAAGAGAGTAGATCCTTGCTGGGAAGCGTTGTCCTTCAAGCCGTTTCCCTCCCCACATAATTCAGTATTTCTAATGTTGAGGAAAAAATGCATTAAACCTAATACCAGCTCCCAGGCTTGTCTCATTCTCTCTGTAAAGTCGAAGGAAGGGGTTGTAGCACACTGGGATGTGGGTGAAGAGACCATGCTGTATGCTACTGTGACTTGAGGGTGCACGCTGGCCTGTGTGTAGTGTGGGTAATAGCATGGGCCGTCCTGTGTTCCTAAAGCAAGCTGCTCTGCCTGCACCCCGCCAGGACAGCTCAGCTCTTCTCCAGTTTGAATGTCACACCTGTCTCCCACAGTTCTTGCCACATTCAGGGGATCGGATCCTCATCACGGGAGCTGCAGATTCCAAGGTGCATGTCCATGACTTGACCGTCAAGGAGACCATCCACATGTTTGGAGATCACACCAACAGAGTTAAGCGGATTGCCACAGCTCCCATGTGGCCTAACACCTTCTGGAGTGCAGCAGAAGACGGGCTAATCAGGTACAGAACCCTGGTTGTTCTGCCCCAGAATGAATTGGATTAGGATCCACTGCAGTATGTACAGTGCACAGGTCTGAAGAGAGACTGTCTCTGTACAAGAGCCTAAGCTAATCTCTCCCTTTCCTGAAACCGGAAGGATTCTTCTTGAAATCTTGATCTTGTGGATGCCCCATCCCTGGGAGTGTCCAAGGCCATGCTGGATGAGGCTTGGAGCAACCTGGGCTAGTGGAAGGTGTCCCTGCCCATGGCAGGGGCGTTGGAACTGGATGATCTTTAAGGTCCCTTCCAACCCAAACCATCCTGGGATTCTATGAAATGTGTAGACTCTGAGAAATACTCTCCCTAGCTCCCCTGTTTTCCCTGATGAAAAGCGAGGACAAGAAAGGACTAGCCATGTCAAATGGAAGGGATGCACACCACTGAGCAGCGTTTCCCTCTGGAGTCACTGACACTCTGAGATGAGCTATGTTACTACAAGAGTCTGTTCCACTTTTCCTATGAGCTGTTGCTTGTGAGGTCACGACTTGGAGTTTCATTTGGATCTTGTATAAATCCGTGCACATCATAGAGCTGGTTTTAACGTTTATCCTGATACTGAGGCCTAGTGAACTGGGATGCATCCAGCAGCCTGTGGCACAAATGACTCTAAATGTCGTTGGTGTCATCTCTTCATGCAAAATTAAGTGTAGGTCACTACTGAGCTGTGTAAACGTGCTGTTTTGTGTGGTCTCCAGCTTGGTCCCTGTGGAAAGCTAACCGTTGCTGCTCCTGTTACCTGGTGACACGGGCTGCCTCTCTTCCCCCTGCAGACAGTACGACCTGCGAGAGAACAGCAAACGCTCAGAAGTCCTGATAGACCTGACGGAGTACTGCGGGCAGCTGGTGGAGGCCAAATGCCTGACGGTCAACCCGCAGGATAACAACTACTTGGCAGTGGGGGCAAGCGGACCCTTTGTGCGGCTCTACGACATACGCATGATCCACAACCACAGGTAGTGATGGACGGCTTTTCCGGGCAGAGACGAGGGGTGCAGGAATCTGCTCGAGGCCCTGGTGGGAAGGGGGACTTGCAGTGATCTGGCACTCTTCGCTGTGAGGTTTTAGCCAGTCTTTTCTCTCAGCTGCAGTCTTTTGGTCTGTGTGAGTGCAGCGGGGTGGTGGAGGCAGGCCTGTGACTGCACAGTTGTGTAGCCACGAGGCCTTGCCCTGCGTGTGAACAAGAAGTGTTAGTTACATCAGGCTTCCAGGAGTTGAATACCATGATTATGAGACTGTTCTTCTTTCTGGCTAGAAAAAGCATGAAGCAGAGTCCTTCAGCTGGAGTGCACACCTTCTGCGACCGACAGAAGCCCCTCCCGGATGGAGCGGCGCAGTACTACGTGGCAGGTACTGGGGCCTGTGCTGGGGGTGGCTGATGGGACTCTGTGTTAATGCCTGAAGAAGCCGAGTTCTACCCATCACACAAGGACCCACTGCTTGGAAGAGTTCTCCGATACAGGGATGTTCCATGGAATTGCTGTTTATTTCACTCTATGCTGTGAATTCTTGCTTATGTCACCTGCTCAATTCCCCTGATTTGGCAGTGGGGTGTGTTGGTGAGCTGGCCGCCTTCTTGTCTAGTGTAAATGTCTTTTTGTCACTTTTGCTGGAAAGTCAAGGATTGGATAACTTACAGGATTTCTCCTGGAACTGGTCCCAGCAAGGCTGCTGTTAAACATATTTTTGGCACGGAAAAGAAGCGGCTTGTCCTCATCCTGCAGGTGAAGAATCAGCGATGCAGTTTCTGGGCAGTCTAGATGATATTCTTCTCCAGTGCTCGTTATTTACTATCTTTTCCCCCAAAATGTTTGCTTATCTTAAAAAGACCAACACATTCAGCAGACCACTTTTGACAGTCTTGCTTCTGATGAGTCCCGCTAGAGGATTTCTTAGGTCCCCTGCATTGGTCACGCCACGCATCTGCTGTCTGAAGCAAAAGAAGCTGTGTGTGAGTGGAATGTTTTAGGAGCCTTGCTTTGGTTGTGCTAGGGGCTTGATTAAGGAAACCTGATCACAGGGTTGAAAATGGAGGTATTTGTTGATGGGTGCAAATCACAGGAGCCAAAAGCATAGTGAATCCCTAAACCCCACATTTGGTGGGTTCTGCAGACCCCGTTGTTAGCAAAGTAGTTAAAATCCAGTCTTCTCTTCGTACGGAGCTGGCCTTGCAGAACTGGTGTCTGGAACTTGTGCAGAGGCAGTGTGCATATCAACGTGTTTTGGTGGCTGGCGGAAGGATTCGACAAACAGCAGTAGGAAGTGGAAATAGGTTGGTGCACTTCGTGACACTGCTGTCCTGACAACCTCTTGTGACAGGGAGCAGCTGGCGAGGGACAGAGTTTACTAGTTACGCTGATGCGATGGACCTCTTCTCCCCGCAGGGCACCTTCCAGTGAAGCTTCCGGACTACAACAACCGGCTGAGGGTTCTGGTGGCCACGTACGTCACCTTCAGTCCTGATGGCACCGAGCTCTTAGTCAACATGGGAGGGGAGCAGGTAGGACGACAGCTCGCGTTCGGCAGGAGGCTTCACGTTCGGTTGGGTTTGTTGGGTCACTGTACATTGTCCATTCACAGAAACGGGCATAGCAGCTTTGCTGCGGGTAATATGATTGATTTTCAAGTGCTTTCTGATCCATTCAGACTAAATGCTTGGTATTAGGGATTTATTTGTTATGCTGCCACTGATCAGACTTGAACCGCATTCTGTTCTGGTTTTCCAACTCACATTTTACTCTCTGGAAGAGGAAAAATAGAACCAGTTCTGGAACTGACCTTTGCTGACCTAGAAAAGATTTCATAACTCATTCTTGAAACATCAAACTGCTGCTGTAATAGAATCCAGCGAATAAGGAACTTACAGAAGCAAAGGCCTTCACCTGGAATATTGATTGCTTTAATTTTAAGCACTGGGTGATATTCATGGATCTTTTGTAAAGCCTATCAGTGAAAGGAGAAAATCCTCCTGACAGCATTAATCAGCGTGGATTAAGCAGGAACTTCGCTTCTGGGCAGGTTACTCTGTGGTTGTCCTCCACAGTTCTCTTTCTCACACTTGCACTCATTCCCTTTAAGAGAAGGTGCTGAGTTAGATGAATTGTGGGTCTCATCTGAGCTGTTGGTTCCTATGCCAATACAGTTTTAAATTAGGGCTCTGCAGGGCTGCTTTCAAAGTTTCTCAGGAAATCCTGGTTCCATCTTAGAGAGACTTTTGCCTTGTTTTAGTCAATAAATGATTTCATGATCACTGTGTTAATTAAACAGTTAAAATAGCTTATGGGAGTAGAAGTTTTCTGAACAGGTTGGTTTGTGGTCAGGTCCTCATTTATGTAGGTGTAGAGAGAGCTTTCTTACTTCTTGAGTAAAGTCAAGGCTCCTATTTCTCAGCATTATTCCATCTGTAAACAAGATCCCCAGTTAAAAAATTGGGAATAGCAAAACAGAAACGTGGAACTGTACCCATGTAGCCCTGTTTTATTTCTGTGACTTCAGCATCACTGTTTCACAGGCTTATTTTTGTCTCCTCTTCCTTCATTCTTTAGGTCTATTTGTTTGATCTAACGTACAAACAGCGACCGTACACTTTCCTACTCCCAAAGAAGTGCCATACTTCAGGGGGTAAGTATGCTGCTGTCATGGAAGTGAGGGGAAGGCGGAGTGGAATCGCGTTACTGCACAACTCTCTCTCAGGGTGCAGCCCCCTCTGGGTAGGAACCAGGAGAATGAAGTAGGGCATGGCTGTTGCTGGGCCGTTTCTGCACTGCAGTTCGTACCCTGCGTTGTAAAACCCTTCTGCAGGGTGACAAAATGTGTGTCACCCCACACAGGAGAGAAGTGGGCTGTTGGGAGGTGTACCCCTGTGCGGGTGAAGGAGAGTGCTTAAAGCTGTGCACAGAGGATGAAGTGGGCTTCGTAGTGTGATTGAGGTCTTGGTATCCTGCCTTCAACTAAGGGGGGAAACTTTGTGGGCAGGTATGGAAATGGTATATTGGTTTTATATTTTTAAACTTAATAAAATGTAGAATTCTCTGTTATCCCCTCATATGCCCATTAGGAAGGAGACAGAACAATCTCTTCCCTAGCTAAGAATCTGGCCTGACACTGATAGCTTTCCTGGTGGTGAGATAGTTGAATCAAACACTCATTTATTTGACAAGTAAGGAAATCCCAAAGCCTTTTTATGCCTGGCCCTGTTTCTTACAGGGCCTGTTCGTACACAGATACTGTGGGCAGGATGCAGGGAATGGCTGTAACGCTATTCCCCGGGCAGAGGCTGACTCTTATCAGGGAGTGTGCCCTGCTCAGCCCATTCCTTGTTCTCCGAGCGCTCTGGCAGAGTTTGATCTGTGTACTCAGCTCGCCTTAGGCCTTAATCTCATACTCACATCCTGGTGGCAAATACATGCCCTGCCTGCCTTTCTCTTCTGTCTGGAACGCAGGTGGGTGCTCTGTGCTGCGGCATCTGGTGAGGTCACGCTTTGGGTGGCAGGAGAACGTTTGAACAGGCTCACGGTCGTGCGGTTGCAGCAAACGCTCCACCCTGTTGGTCCCAGAAAGTTCAGGCAGAGGCTGTGAAAAGGCAGTGCCGAGGCTGAACGTCGTGTGCACGCACGTCTCCGCGCACCCAACTCTGGGAGCAGCTCAGTAAACTGGTTGGGCAGTGTCCCCGGTTTCCCAAGCTGTGAAATGCTTGGGGGAGCACTCCCAGCTGCAACGTAAACGCAGTTGGGGAAACCTAAAGCTGAATATTTTCTGTAGAAATGGCAGATGATGTGGCTGCCTGACCTTCAGAGGGATTACTTCAGCTTGAACTGCTCCTTGAGCAGCAGGATAAGAAAAGAAAGGAAGGAAGAACGCATCTGGAATTCCTTTACTGGGTTCCTTCAGTGCTTCTACTCATCCTCCTTGTTCTGTTGAACGTTCAACAACTCAGCGCTATGATTCTTTATCTGAATGAATCTGAGATGCAGGGTTCCTGGTGTTACTAAGTACTTCTGCAGTTTTAAAGGTCGGGCTCTGGCGAGCGGGCAGGTACTCCGGTTACGGCCTAGGCTCAGTCTGGAGGCAGCTCAATCCCAGCTGCCCTCTCGTCCTGCGTGTATACCGAGGTCTGTGTGTACCTAGAGTTGTGTTACGAGGGATGCTGCAGAGATTTCGTAGTAGATGTAAGAAGGCAAATCAAATCCAGGTGGCTGGAGGATGGAGGGGGGGTGGAATCATGGAATCTTTATTTCTGCTCTGAACGGGGCTGTGGCATTCGCTTGGCTCTGCTGTAAAATAACCCCCTGAAGCTTTAGACATTAGTTTGTATAATCTACGCTGGTGCTTAGCATGGCTGTATTTCATTTTTTTTCTAACCTTCAGAAGTGCAGAATGGAAAAACCTCTACCAATGGAGTGTCGAACGGCATCCACCTCCACAGCAACGGCTTCCGCTTGTCTGAAGGAAGAGCACATGTGAGGTAGGGTGACGCATCTACCTGCATGAAAGCCCAACAGCTTTATTCTTGCCCTCTTCCTCTTGCCAGGGTTAGGTGCTGCTGAACAAGCTGTGATCTGCAAATCCACTTGATGTGTTGACTTGATTGTCAAGCAGTCTCTGTCCTAGGAGCTGTGCTTTCTTCCGGTGCAGGTGCATGAGTCAGACCAGGCAAGAGCATCCTGGGAGAAATGTCCATGTGGATTTTTCCCCTCTTAGGATGAATTACTGCAGAAAAAGCTAAGAAATTACTTTTCAGGCCTGGAAGCAAGGTGTTCTTAGTTGTCCTGAGTGGCTGTTCCTGACCTGCAGGAACTGTGTCTTGGTAAATGGGAGAGGCTCTCAGGTTGAAAGAGCCTTGCTTCCCTTTCCCAGGTTTTTGGGCAACTGCCTGCCGCAAACTGAACTGAAGCAGCCAAAACTGCCTTAGGGCAGTGACTCTGGAGTGACTGCTCCTGCAGTCTGCATGTGAGCTGGGAATGGATGGAGACCCGTCTACTATTGCTCCTCCTGCTTGCTTTCTGTAAGAGCAAAATGCAGTTGGGGTGAAGCAGAAGCGGGCTTAAAGCACGTTTTACTGACTCTTTTTGCTCCAGCTGATGAGACACGGTTAAAAGTCAAGATGAAGTTGCTTAATACCATATATGGGTAGTCTAAGTTCCACCAAAGTCAATTTGTGGAATGTTTTCAGCTTGTTTCCTCTAGATGGCCCCTCCACCACGGCGGCAGGGATGTGGCTGGAATTTTGGGTTGCTGAGCATGGGCCTTGTGCAGCCCTGTGAACCTGGGTGCTTGGTTTCCTTCTGAATTTGCATCCTGTTATACAGTGCTAAAAGAGGGTTGGAAATGTTGTTTATGTAGTCAAAGCAAAGATGCATTGATGAAGTCTGAGGGATTAGATGCTTAAAATACCCACTGTTCAATGCTGAGCATGTGTCTCTGTGTGTGTGTGTATATATGT